TTGAACTTTGGCTTCTGTCTCAGTTCATTTGTGCTGCCGTAACTGAATGCTTGACGCTGCACAATTAATAACAAACGGGGACAGACCAAGAAGATTTCAAAAAGTCCAAGGGTTGGCCTCAGTGGAGGGCCATCTTACTATATTAGAGGATGAACTCATTTCCACAATACAGGCATCTTGGCCTAGTCACCTCTCATTAGGCTCTTCTAAACCAGTGATTCTCAGCCTCCCTAATGCTGGGACCCTTTAACACAGTGACCCCCCAACCATAAAAAATTATTTCCTTTGTTACTTCATTACTGTAATCTTGCTATTGCTATGAGTCGTAAGTAAATATCTGTGTTTTCTGATGGTCTTAGGCAATCCTGTGAAAGGGTCCTTTGACCCCCAATGGGGTCGTGACCTACTTACATACTGGGAAACACTGCTCTAGACCTTGTTGCATGGACCATTGTAAGTGGCCAAGGCATACTTGTGTGTAGGTGCATTGAAGACACTGCAGTTTCTCTTGTCTCCGAGAGAGAGAGAGAGAGAGAGAGAGAGAGAGAGAGAGAGAAATAAGGATATGAAGCTTAGACATAGTAATGCCTGTAAGGCTCCCACACACTGCTAGCCATTGCTTTCTTTATCGAGGGCCCAGAAAGGTTAAAGCATTTGCCTAAAATCTCACAGTACGTAAGTAGCCCACCTGTGTTTCAGGCAAGGCACTATGACTCCAGCCATATTGCCCTGGGAGCCCTGGGAGCTGACTCGATGGAGCTATCTTACATCTGCCTCTGTCACCTCTGCTGCCACGGCCAACAGTCTGGCTGTTTTCAGGGGAGTATGGTCTCTGATCATGGAAGTCTCTAAGTCCCCAGGGCCTAGCAGAGACCCACGAGTCCTCTTGTCACCTTGGAACCCAGTGTGGTCATATTTCTGCTTGTGAAGCTATACCATTGGTGGCAACCCCCCCCCCCCGCCCATAACCTGCTCTTTCCCCCTGGACTGTGCCTAAGCCACAGATGCCTCTGGCTGCCAGCATGGGAGTGGGGGTGGTTCACTTGCTGGGCTCATGCAGGCTTGGGAGTCCAATGTATGCAGGGAATGGGTACCCTAGGAGGGGGGTCACCTCCATCTCTACCCAGGCACACAGGTAGGAGCATGAGCAAAACTCCAGTCCTAGCATGGATGTACGTATGCCAAGGTATAGATTCTGCCCCGACCGTGCGGCTGCTCACCATTGTCCACCGTGGCTCCTCCCTGCCCTGTGACTCATGCTCTTGCCTTTATGGGAGACTGTAGCCACAGGGACAGCCAGATGCCCAGAACCACGGTGCACAAAGCTGGAAGGGGCAGTGGCGATGCCCTCCAGGGCAAGGCGTTTCCACTCTGGCGTCTCCTATGTGCATCGCCCCTTATAAAGTGTTTGGGAAGTGTCTGTGCCTTACCCAATAGCCTTCCTAAGTTGACTTGATTTTTTTTCACAACCCTACCATTTATTTTAAAAGGAAAAGGTAATCATTACTCTAGTGGATGAGCAGTGCCAGAGATACAACATGTTCGGGAAGGTAAGTATTTCTGACACGATGAGGTCAGCTCCTTGAAGGCGTCACTAGGAGGTTGACTGTTGCATCCCCACCCCCAAAGCAGGACCTGGCACATAAGCACATAAGTTCTCAGGACCTGGTCAGTGACTGCAGAAACGAATCGAGGACCTGAGCCTCAGTGAAGAGGAGGAAGTCACAGGAGCCCTGAAGCCAGCCAGCCACAAGTAGACAAATTTAGATTGTCGAAAGGGATTTGAAAAGGGTGGAACTTCCTCAGTGTGAGCTCCTCGGTTCTTCAGTGCCCTGTTCAGATGCTCTGCACGTCAGAGGCCGACCTGGGCCTAACAGGGACCCAGTGCTCAGGTGACAGATCCCCCTCACCCACATCCAGCATGAGGCTGGGTCCAGGGGAGGCTCCTTGGTAGAGCTGCCTGCCTCCCTTCTCCTCCTATAAACTTATCTGGCAGACATGTGGGATGTGCTAGCCCCTTCTACCACATGCCTGTCTACTTCTGACCTGCGTGACCTTTGGGGCTTCCTGCTTTACCTTCCCTAACAGGAGACCGAATGGCCATTGAACATCTCTGTCTCCTCTCCACAGTGCCGGTCAGGCTGTGATGGCAGTTAAGCTCAGGGCCCGGGGGTTCGGATCTTTGCCTCGCAGGAGCCTGTGGGGGTGGCTGTGGCATAGTATCCGGGTGGGAGGCCTGGCACAGGAAAGCTGACGTCACCCCTGACTCATTCTTCAGGCAGGGCTGGGGGTGGCCTGTCACTCATCTCTAAGGTTACTCTCACCTTCATAACTACCCTGGCTCAGGCCTCTCAGCCCAGCCACTCACGCCTCCTTTCCTCCCCGGGCCATCTGCTTGAGGCTAGGCTTAGAAGGAGGAGGAGGAGGAGGAGAAGGAGGAGGAAGGGAAAGAGCATCAGGGTAGAGCCTGGAGCATCTGATTATGGAAGGGAAACCCATGTTGGAAGCAGGCTGGGCGGACAAACCGGAATCCCAAAGGCAGAGGGCCAGTGACGTCTAAGCAGCCAGCCAAATAAATGGTTACAGAAAAGAATAACACAGAGAATCATCATTTGTTCCAGTTGAGTCTCACACAGTTTTAATTGAAGAAGAAAGAAAAATAAATAAAACCTGAGCCCCAAACTCACTTGTTAGGTCTGTTCTGTTAACAGGTGGGCCATGAAGAACCTTAAACAGAAACCAATGGCTGTGAGGTCACTCACTGTCTGGTGATGAGGCACCCGCAGCCAGCTTGGCTGGATGCCCCCTCATGCTACCCCAGCATATGTCCAGATTCCTGCCTCCATTTGGCAGGCTCTCAGGGAATGGGTCTGGAGAACAGGGTCCTGAGAGGGTGGCAAGGGGTAGCAGACATCTTCCAGATGACTCACTGGTGGCAGCTTTGGGGGAGGGCTTAGTCAGAGCGGGAGGTGGGCAGGGATGTGGGCCCTTCTACCCCAGCCTTGGACTTTCACTCAGGTGTTGAAGGTGGGGTTTTCCCCTGATTTGGGAATCCGGCGGAAGGTGAAGGCCAGCCACAGTTTTATGGTTAGGTTTGGCCTCCCTGAGTTAATCTGTGTGTGTCAGAACTGAAAAGGGGACCCCCCCAAGGAGAGTGGCTTTGGGATATATGTGTGACAGATCCACACTGGCGCAGATACAAGGACCGAGGCACCCAACAAACCTGCTCTCACCCTGCAAGGAGGCCCACCAGCTCAGCGCGGCACTGGAGTCCAGGGGCAGGAGTTTCCCACAAAGCTAAGCTGATTTCATTCCTGTTGCAGGACCTCCCTCTTCTCCACAGCTGGAAGGCTGTGGCTCCAGGCATGGCAGGTGACTCTGGTCAGCAAGACTAGACATGATGGTCCCCCTCCTGCTCTGTAATTTGTCCCTGGAATCAGCCATTAAGTCATCTGTGAGGACGATGCCAAGGATAAGAGCCCCTATCAGCTTCAGGGATCTCTGGTCCAGACTCCCTGGCTGGGCTACCACTTCTGCTGTATCAGCCTCCAGACTGGCTTGGTGGCACAGCCTCATAACCTAGCCCTGGAACCTACACGTATGAGGGGGTCACTGAGGCACAAGCCCATGATACCTGGTCCAGGAGTCCTCGTAGCTCCTCCCTTGTATTCTGTATCCCCCACAAGCTCTAAGCTCCCCAAACAGGAGGGAGAGGCATAATATTCTGCTCCAGCACCTACATACCATGCTAGACACAGGTCCTAGCCGTAGCCCTCCAAGACAGAGGGAACACGGGGTCTGCAGAGGCTGGAAGGGCTTACTGAGGGTACAGGAGTGGCTCAGGCGAATAAAGATTTGGGGGGTTGGGTTCTGGACATTGTCCCCACCCACTCTGTCTAGTTTAGATGGACTTCAGCCACCTACCAACATTTCTTGCCCCCAACCAGGAGTGCCCCCGGGGTGGGGAGCCTACGCACAGTCGGGTCTCACCACATCCGGGAGGAAGGGGGGCTGGCACTTGAGTTGGGGAGGGTGGACGGGCAGTGCGTTACCCAGCTCTTCATTCCTACAGCCTGGCATGGTGCCCCGGCCTGTCCCAGGAGGGTTTGCAGCTCTAAGGGATTGGAAGTGAGTGGTTCTCCTTCCCCTGAAATTCCCGCCAGACCTGGCTAGGCCCTGGGAGAACCCAGCAGAGTTCCCCTTCTGCCCTGGTCTGTGACATGGGAAGTACTTCTTTTTGGGCCCTTGGGGGTTTCCCTGGGCCCCGAGGGAAAGAAACCGTCCCAGTCATAAGTGGAAACGTCACAGGCCCCTGCTCCCTTTCCCCGCTAAAGCCCCCCAGACCCAGGTCTTTGGCTTCAAGAGACTACTCCAGCTGGGCCAACCTGTGGTAAAACCCTGCCACGGAGAGAAGGGGACAGACATTTTCCTAAGTTTTCTAAAATGAGACGAGTTAGGTATCCTTCTTTCCAGTGTATCATCATTGGTAGCAACAGGCAATTTGTCCATTTTTGTTATCGAAATTCCTAGAATGAAACCCCTGGGAGAGAATGGGGAAAGCGAGGAAGCTTAAGGCCGCAGCAGCTCTGTGAAGCTGAGAAGCTGAGTTCCCAAGCACATGGCGTGGAGCAAGGGCGCAAAGTGGGGAGCACTCGGGCGTACACACTGGGGAGACGTGGGTGGGGCCTCTAGATTCCGGGCCGACACTTGTCACTGTCTGGTCCCCAGTTTCTTCCCCTGCGTGTCCCTCCCCCTCCCCCCGCCCCGTCCGCTCTGGGAGCCCCGGGGACGCCCCAGCCAGCGCTCCACGTGAAGCCGCGGGGGCGGGCCCCGGCGCCTTCCTGCTCTAGCCTTGTACGGAGACCGGAGCGGGCCAGCCCTCGAGTACTTAAGCCCAGAGCCAACGGCTCCGGCCGCACAGTCGCTGGCGCCGCCCGAGCGCAGGAAAGGCGAGCCGAGCCGAGCCAGAGGGAGGCCCGAGAGGAGCAAGAGGCTTGGCGATGCCGATCGCCACGGGGCTGGAGGCGGCGCGCGAGCTGGAGTGCGTGGCGCTGGGTGCGATGCTGCGGGAGCCGCGGGAGGCCGAGCGCACGCTGCTGCTCGACTGCCGCCCGTTCCTGGCCTTCTGCCGGCGCCACGCGCGCGCCGCCCGGCCGGTGCCCTGGAACGCGCTGCTGCGGCGCCGGGCGCGGGGCACCCCCGCCGCCGCCCTCGCCTGCCTGCTGCCTGATCGGGCGCTCCGGGCGCGCCTGGGCCGCGGGGAGCTGGCCCGCGCCGTGGTGCTGGACGAGAGCAGCGCGTCTCTGGCCGAGCTCCCGCCCGACGGTCCCGCTCACCTGCTGCTAGCTGCGCTGGTGCACGAGATGCGCGCGGGACCCGTGGCCGTATGCTTCCTGAGAGGTGAGCCCCGCGCCCCCCACCCCGCGCCCCCCGCCCCGCGCTCCCCCCCCCGCGCCTGGTCTCTTGCCCGATCCCAGCCCTCCTGTCTTGCCCCCCCCCCCCCCCCTCCTCCTCTCCCCCCACGTAGGAGGCTTCGAAAGCTTTCAGGCGTGCTGTCCGGATCTGTGCTCTGAAGCTCCAGCCCAGGCGCTGCCTCCTGCCGGGACGGAAAATAACAGCTCTGACTCTAAGGCTTCCATCCATGACCAGGTGAATTGATATCAGAATTTTTTTTTTTTTTTTTTTTGTGTGTGTGTGTGTGTGTGTGTGTGTGTGAGACCTGTAAATGGTGTGAATGTGTATATCCTCATAGAGACTTTAAGCCTTGAGGGGCACACGGCGTGTCCCCTTATGCCCTCAAGACTTCAAGGTCTGTCCTTGGTCAGAAAGACTGGCTTAGAGCTTCTCTTGTTTCTACCCAGCCCATGATGTTTCTGCCCCACTCAGGGTTCAAGCCCTCCAGGCCAAGGCTGAGGTCTCACCACTGTCCCCTTCCTCCTCCAGGGTGGTCCTGTGGAAATCTTGCCCTACCTGTACTTGGGCAGCTGCAGCCACTCCTCAGACCTTCAGGGCCTGCAGGCCTGCGGCATCACAGCCGTTCTCAATGTCTCAGCCAGCTGCCCCAACCACTTTGAGGATCTTTTCCGGTACAAGAGCATCCCAGTAGAAGATAACCAGATGGTGGAGATCAGCGTCTGGTTCCAGGAGGCTATCAGCTTCATTGGTAAGGGAGCCTCAGCCCAGGGCTCTGGGGGTACTGTAGGGGAAAAGGCAGGGGGCAGCTGTTTCCTCCGTCCACCTTCCGGTCTCACTCCTCCCTCTTCGTTTCCTTTTCAGACTCGGTGAAGAATAGCGGGGGCCGCGTCCTGGTGCACTGCCAAGCTGGCATCTCTCGCTCAGCGACCATCTGCCTGGCGTACCTGATTCAGAGCCACCGGGTGCGGCTGGACGAGGCCTTTGACTTTGTTAAGCAACGCCGGGGGGTCATCTCCCCCAACTTGAGTTTCATGGGGCAGCTGCTGCAGCTTGAGACCCAGGTGCTGTGCCATTGAGGCAAAACCCCACAGGGCCGGCTCTCACTGACTCCTGGGGAGCCTGCTTCCGGCTGCCGGGCTCCTCTCCGGCCTGGCTCATCTCTCCTCACCTCGTCCTCAAGGTGGGGTGCTAGGAAAGCCAGTGTGATGGCTTTTCTGATATGGTGCTCTTCTGAGGGGGACCAGGGCTATCTGTTCTCCCTCCCCCAGCTCTGGCAGAAACTAATTGGACTCTGAACCTATGTATTGCAGTCCTACTATGTTAAAGCCTTTGGTAGTCCAAGGGCTCAAAAAAAAAACAAGCTGTGACAAGCAGGAACCAAGTTTAGGGGCGTGCACCCCTTGACCCAAACCTCTATAGAGTCTTGTGCTCCCAGGGGAGCCAGGAAGTGACGCGTGTGTTGTGTTTCTGATATCTTGCCTTCATGTGTAAGTCTGTGTGCCTCTCACCGTAATTGGTGCTGAAAAGTTATTGGTGTTCAACTGACATGTCACACTCCCTCCCTGGTTTCCTCCCAGCCCTGTGGGCTAGGGAGGGGCCGTTCGAAACAGCACTTTATATTTATACAGAACATTGAGGAGTGTCAATAAAACTGTGTTTTGTTAAAAAAAAAAAATCAATGCCGCAAGTGTCTGGTCTCAAGTCCGTGTCTAGGGTGGCTGAATGACTGAGTGGTCTTCACCGACCCCACCTGGGGTCTTTCCCACACAGGTTCTAGCTTGTGGTTGAACTGGGGGACTCCAGTCTAGGTCTCAAAGCAGCTCAGGGCTCAGAGCTTCCCTGATTAGACCCCACTTCCTCAGGAAGCACATTTTCCCGATATGTGTTTCCTGATGGGTGTTGGCTGAGGACATTCAGATCAGAGGGCACTGGCTTCCTGGGGATGAATGAAGGGTGCACAGCCCATTCTCTCTGCCCTGGGGTGAGGTGCTCAAGAGCTTAGGGCTGTTCTTAGCCTTCTTCCAGGACTGTATCAGTTTCTCTCTCTCCTTTTAAATGTATTATTTGGGATTCTCACATCAAACACCCCGACTGCAATCACCTCAAAGTTTCCCTATGTCCACTCCCTCCTCCTCCGGGATCCTCCCAGAACCAGAGGAAAGAGCAAGTCCATTTTGTGTTGTTCACATACTCAAGAATATGGTCAAATTCTTAGTGGCCAGCCTGCTCAGGAAGGAGGAGTCTTTCTCCGCCTGCATCCATACCAGAAGCCATCAACTGAGGAGAGAGGGGGAGGAACGGGGTCCGTTCTGCCATGCCCACAGACATTAACATGGCTTCAGGCGGCCATCTTCAGTGGTAACGCAGGCCATAGACATCGACACGACCAGCCATATCAGGGCCACTGACCTGCTCATGGCCTTCAGTATCTGCACAGGCCGTGGACCTCAACGTGCGGCTAGAATATCAGGATGCTCCCCCAGGCAGCAAAGCTGAGGACATCACCAAGTCATTGGTCAGCGGCACAGACTGCATCTGTCCACATTAATCTCAGGCCTCACTGCATCCCGGGGCGGCAGCAGAGACCACAGACACCCATGTGGCCTTCTCAGACCATGGTGGGCCCTCAAGGAGGTCTAATCCAGAAAGTGAACCCTCCTCCATCTCGGGTTTCTGCTGTTGCCAATCCTAACGGGCAAGGACAAGGTGTCCCCTTGCTGCCGCCGCCACCCCCCCAGTCCCGCCTCTCTCCGCAACACATGCACTGATCTGTTTTTCATCTTCCCCACTTTTCTACCACGTATTTGTTTATTGTAGTGGTGCCTGCCTGCCTGCTTCAGGCCATGGGGCTGGCCACTGTTCCAGTTTCTGTTGGGACCTACCTGTGGAACTTGATGTCCGGCTCAGGGTAGGTAAGGTACACCAGGCCTCAGAGCACTAACATCTCGTCACCATCTCACATATAGTATTGCTGGCTGTCCCATTTCACCCCCTCCCTTCCCCTTGTGTGCTTCTAACAGTTCACCCCTCCTAACGAATGGCCTTTCCTTTCCTTCCTTCCTTCCTTTCTTTTTCTTTTTTTTTTTTTTTTTTCCCGACAGAGAGTCTTACTATGTAGCCTTACCTTGCTTGGAACTGGGTATGTAGACCAGGTTGGCCTCAAACTCACAAGGGGTCTGCCTGCCTTTGCCTCTCAAGTACTGCCACTACAGGCTTGTGTCACCACAAATGATATTTCATAGTCTATCCTTTAAGTTTGTTTTAATTGTTTATTTTACATACATTGTGTTTTGATTGCATATATCTGTATGAGGGTGTCAGGTCCCCTGGAACAGAAGTTTCGGACAGTTCTGAGGTGCCTTGTGGGTGCTGGGAATAGAACCTGGGTTCCCCAGAAGAGCAGCCAATGCTCTCAACTGCTGAGCCGTCTCTCCAGCCCCTCTATCCTTCAAATTTAATTGTGAAAACCATAAACTTGTTGTCTTTGCCATTCTAAGTGTTCAGAAGTATTAGGTAATAGTTACAGTAGTTGTTTCTAGAACTTTCCATCTTGAAAAATGGGAACATGGGGCTGGAGAGATGGCTCAGTGGTTAAGAGCACTGTCTGTTCTTCCAAAGGACCCGGGTTCAATTCCCAGCACCCACATGGCAGCTCACAACTGTCACTCCTGTTCCACTCTCATAGAAACATATATTCAGTAAAAAAAAAAAAAAAAAGGAACACATTCTATGTTGACATTAACTCCCAAGCTGCCCTCCAGGTGGCCTCTGCCTTGTGCTGAACTGGGGACTCTGGGTACCTCATTTGGGAGGGACCGTTCAACATTTGTCTCCTTTTAGAAATCTGCATTTTATTCTTTGACCATTTCATAGATGTATGTCTACAATATGCTTTGATCATATTCACCCTACTCTCCCTCCCCCAACTTCCTCCCCAACACCGCTCCCTTTACCTTCATGTTCTCTTCTTATTTCATAGCCCCCTACATCCACTTTGTGCTTCCCAAACACTCCTGGAGCATCCCGTGGAGCGTGGCCATACCCCCAAAGAAAAATGACTCTAACAGCCATCAGTTGACAATAGCTGCTTGGCGAGAGCCTGGAGAGCCCCTCTGAATGCATGCAGGAATTCTGGCTGGGTTGACCTTGCACACATAACCTCGGCTGCTACGGGTTAGAGTGCCACAGGCGTGACAAATCCAGGAGACAGCATTTCTCCTTCCTTCCCATCTGCAGGCACTCACACGCTTTCTGTCCCTCCGTCTGAGATGAGACACTCCCTGTGCCTTGGAGGGGACAGGGTAATAGAGATGTTCCATTTAAAGACCTCAGTCACTGTTCTTAGTGCGTTGACCAGTGAATTATCCGCCGCTGACTGCAAAACAGTCTCTCTGGCCAAGGCTGAGACAAGCTCTGATTTAGGAAATGAAGTGCTGGCACAGCCGCACCGAGGCAAAATGCCAAGTCTCCGATCCCTCTGGTGCTAGCAGGCTCGGGTTGCACTCAGAATGGAGCCTCGAGTCTCATGTCCACCAGAATTGTCTTCTCGTGACTAGTTACTCCAACTTAGTCTACAACATTCTTGTTTGAAGGAAAAACTCCCATTTTTTGACCAGATCTGAGATTTTCCACCAGTGTGATGATGATGGTTTTACTAAGCACATTTAACTAGCTAGGCCATTGTATGTATGTATGAAATATATGTATGTATGTATGTATACACACACACACACACACATTTTTTTTTTTGAGACAGGCCTTCACTATATGTTTTCTGGACATGACATGGCTGTGGCACTCAAACTTATAGTAACTGAGGTCACTTTCTGGAGAAATGGTGGCCCTAGGCTCAGTAGGAATGCTGCGAGGCCCTTGTGGACAATAACCAGTGCCCTTGGCTCTGGCTGTCCTTTGCTGGGCATGGGGTGGATTTGTTGGTGTGCTCTAGGCTGTCGATCCAGTTGGGGTCTCTGGGTGTAAAGAGTAGAAGGAGAGTTGAGGCGCTTTGCATTTTGAATGAGTGAGATGGGAAGGGCCCTGGCCGATCAGGCCAGTGGGCATTGGAAGGACCACAATCATGTGAGGGTCTGAGTGTCCAAAAGTGTCCCCTCTCTCTCGTGTGTGTGGGGGTGTGGTTGAGTGCTGATGATGCTGGGTGCTCAGTGCTCGGTTTTGCAGAGTCCTGCAACTTGTGTCTTTCCTATATGGCTCCCGAAATAAAAGCTTATGGCTGGGCATAGCGGCAGGTGCCTTTAATCCCAGCACTCAGGAGACAGAGACAGGCAGATCTCTGTGGGTTTGAGGCCAGCCTGGTCTACATAGACAGTTCCAGGACCGCCAAAGCTACATAATGAGACCCTGTCTCAGAGAGAGAGAGAAAGACAGAGACAGAGAGGGAGAGAGAGGGAGAGAGAGAGAGAGAGAGAGAGAGAGAGAGAGAGGAGCTTATACAGGTGTGACCACACCTTCCATCATTAAGTACATGGGGGAGGTGTCTTGAGTTCTCGGGTAGATTTTCTGTGTCTGAGCCCTCTCTCTGGTAGTGGGCAGGGCAGGAAAAGCTGTCCCTTCTAGTTCTGGGATCTCAGTCCAGCCAAGGAACCTTGCTACAATGCTCCTCTGCCCTCTGGTGGCAGGAGGAGGTATCAGGGAAGCTACACAGCCATGTGATGTCCTAAGGGTTTCTTTAGTGCCCCTTGCCCACTTTTTACCCACTTCAGCCAGGATGGGTGGGTCTACGATCCAGAAGGCTCAAGCCTTGGGGGAAGAGTCCTCAGGTAGGAGCGGGGAGGTCTTCAGGTGGTAGCTGTTGGGAGGACCTGCGGGTGGAGGTGGTTGGGAGGCTGCAGGTGTGGGCTGGAAAAGCTCCTATTTAAAGGTGGATCAGCACCTGCACTTCGGGTGTCTTTCCCTGCCGCAGCTCTGTGCGTCGCCTGCAGCGAGACCCCCGCCATGGGGAGTGTAGGAATCTTGTGGCCTTGGCTGCTAGCTCTGCTCTCCTTGCCAGGTAAGCTGGCTCCAGCCTCTGGAGCACTGGAAAGAGGCTAGGGGGATGTGGCTTAAAATAATCTAGACAGTTTCACAGCTCCAAGGGAAGGTTTGTAGGGGTGTGTCGAAAAGTGAGTGCAGGCCTCCGGGAACCGAGGGGGAGGCCACCTGATACCTGTAGAAGCAGAGAGCCTACCTAACAGATTGCCAAGCATAACACCGCATACCTACTCGTTTTAAGGTAGAGGCTCTGTTCTAACCTGACTGGGGTAGCAGTCACTCAGGCTGAGCCTGCTTTTAGAAAAAGTAGAAGAGTCTGATGCTAGCCCTGAATTTGAATCAAGATTTGAAGTCCACGATGCCTCTTTCCTGCCTCATGTGGGTTGCCATAGCCTTTTTTGAGCCAAGAGCTAGTCCCTTATAGGAACCTCCTTTACTGAATGCATCTAGACCTGGTCACTAGGCATGACCTGGTGGGATGGCCAGGCACACTTCAGGGATGCATGCTGGGAGGCTTATTCTGGAAGGGGCTGAGTTTTGCTGCCTAAATCCCTCAGTTTCCCAATGCCCTGTTGTCCTATCTTACTAATGGTGCCCTGGGGCATCCATGCACCTGCGCTTGTCTGCTTGGGCCAGGTTTTCTCCTAGGAGCACCCTCAGCACCCAGATGTTCAGGAGTCTGCAGTACCAGTGTCCCAGAAGGCTTCACTCCTGAGGGAAGCCAGGCGTCTCAGGACAAGGACATTCCTGCAATTAACCAAGGTGAGACCATTGGGTGAGGCTCAAAAAAGCCACGCTGAAGTAGACATGAAGAAAAAACTGAGAGGAAATGTCCCCACTTAAGGAGTTCTAAAAAAGTGCAAGTTTCACGAGGAAATGCTTAAGTCTGTTTTTCTGGTTTGTTTTGATTTTTCAAACTTGTGAAGTACTGTTTCATGTGAGATGCTATAGTTCTCTTAAAACAGCCTGATAAGAGAGCGCGGGCACTCTCTCCGCCCTGGAGTTGAGCAAAATCATCAGTAGATATTTGAGAGCAGCTCAGTCACACTGAGGAACAGTGTGCAGGTGTGACCTAGCCAGTGTGTGTGGGGCGGTGTTAAGGAACAAAGAAGAGTGTGGCTTAGGGGCTCCCTGACTGGGAATCTCAGCCATGAGGAAGACGGAGGTAACCTTGCCTTGGGACGGGAGGGTGGTGGCCTCTGGGTTAGGAGCTCAGATGGGCACCAGTCCTTATCACTTGACCTCTGGAGGGAGCCAGAACTGAGAGTCTTTCCTGCCACTCACTTTCAGTGCCATGGAGAAGCCCCTCCCATGCTGAGCCACACAGCTACCAGCTGTCCCTCCCTTTCTGATGTCTTGTTAGGAAGCCCTGCTGTCCCCAGCTGCTGTAAATGATAGCTGTGAATGCCACACAACAGTAACAGGTCCTGGAAAGTGGCTTTTAGATTTAAGGACGCAGTTGTCGTCATATAATCTTGAGGTGACTCTTCTCACCTGATGAGGACGTGTAAGGGATTAGTCTGTGTCCCATTTGTAGTCTGAAGCCCTAATGAGATCAGGCAGGGCTCCTGTACTCTTCTCAAGCTTTCTGTGGCTTCCCTCGCTGCCTCGTGAAGTCCTCTTGAGAGCTCTCTTCCCAGAAGTCAGCTACAGAAGGTTCCCTGACAGGAGGAAGATGAGAAGGCAAAGCAAATTGAGACAATGCTCACCCTTCTCGACTTCCTTCTGTGGTTATGACTTGTAATTTCAGCTCCTAGCTACCTCTAGGGTCCAGAATATAACAGATAATGGGAAATAGATATTGGGTGGGAGCAACGTAAGGCCAAGAGGGACGAGAACATGTTCTGGAGAGTGTGACTCATGCTGGAGTGGGCCTGGATGGAAGAGGAAGCTGCATTCTGACAGCAAAGGGCCTGCTGAGGGAGCCCCGGGCTGTGTTTGAACAGGGGAAGGATGCAGGCAGCCTGAGAAGCTTCACACACCCTTCCAGGCTGGGACTTAGCAGGGCTGTTGGATGTCCCCAAAGCCACACAGCGGTGGCTCTCACAGAACTTTAGCCCCAAAGAAAAAGAAGGCATAGACATTGGCCTTGCTGAGTCCATCCCTGCCTGTGTTCTGGAAGTCACAGGTTCACACCCATGTCCCTTCCTCCTTTCCCTCCCAGGGCTCATCTCAGAGGAGACCCCAGAAGGCAGCTTCCTGGTAGAAGGGGACATCATCCGGCCGGTGAGTGGGCAGCCTCAAGGCTGTGAGAACCCTCAAAACTTCCTTCTAGGTGCCATGAACACCTGGCAGGTGGGGCCCATCTTTGCTTCTTATGGTTGATTAGGTACTACTTTCTAGGTCGCCATGAACACGAAAGCAGTGAGAGCTGAAATGACAGACTAGTGGGCCTAAGAGAGCTCCCTGGAGGAGAGGATCCAGGCTCTCAGAACTCACTTGACGCCCCCGCCCAGGGGCAGTGCTTAGAAAGCACAAGGTTGGAGACATAAACCCAGGCCTGACAGTGCTGGTGCGCACCTTTAATTCCAGCACTTAGAAGGCAGAGGCAGGTGGATCTCCGAGTTCGAGGCCATCCTGGTCTACAGAGCGAGTTTCAGCACAGCCAGGGCTACACAGAGAAACCCTGTCTTGAAAAAAAAAAACAAAAAACAAAAACAAGACATGGGCCCAGATTGACTCATGAATGCTTGTAAGACCTGGGTGCCACCCCCCCCTCACCCCCTACTTAAGGTAGCCAGAACAAGTAGTAACATGGAGAGACAGTTTTTGCTAAGGATGGAGGGCTGAGTTGGAAGGGAGGAGGGTGATGGGGACTAAAGTGACTTTATTGCAGAAGGACACATTGTTCAGGAGAGGTTGCCATTGTAGGTGGCAGAATCGGTCACTTCTGAATACGACAGTGAGCAGTGGATAGCGAGACAGTCTTGCTTGTTCAGAGGTGACCGGGGCTCCAGAGGCTGTGCTGGAGTCCGTGGGCGGGAGAGCTCAGGTTGACCACTCGAGATGTGCACACATGTGCCTGGCATTTGAAACCCATAGAGCAGAATCAGATCAAACGTTGGTGGCTAGAGGGGCAGGGCCTTCTGGGAGCCATGAAGCCTACACTTCAGAGTTCTGGTTGGTGGAAGACGGAAGAGAAGCATTGTGAGGGCATCACTGAGTAGGGGCCTTCTCCTCCTTGGGTTAGCAGAAGCTTTGCCGTACTCGTGTTCTGTGGAGGTGCTTGGGAGGGCCTGAGCCATCCTGAGCCAGGCTCCTGGTACACCAACCTTAGGTACTTTGACTTCCCTTATCTGGATTTTCACAGCTGGCCCTTTGATTTCCCCATGCTTTTGTTCTCCTTCTAATGGTTTCCTCATTCCCAAGACAGCCCGTGACCTGCCTGTCACATCTTTTAGAGTCCTGGTGGTACTCTGGAGAGTTAGGAAGCTTAGGTGGCCTGTGTCCTCCATTTAACTCTGAGCTGCCCTCTCCCCTCAGAGCCCCTTCCGATTGTTGTCAGTGACCAACAATAAATGGCCCAAGGGTGTCGGTGGCATCGTGGAGATTCCCTTCCTGCTCTCCAAAGAGTATGGTGAGTGTGAGGGCTGAGGAGGGCCTTCCCACCCTCCTTCCCCCTGCTGCAGGCCTCCTGCAGGGAGCCCCACTCTTCCCTTCTGCATACCCCCTTCTACACTGAGAGGGCTGTCCAAACTCTGACTCCCAGGGCATCCTGAGCTGTGGCAGGGAGGGGGGTGTTGACATTCTGGAAGAGAGCTGATGGAACTCTCTGGTCCCCTCTGGGCTGCATAGTCACACAGCTGGGCCTTTCTGCAGCCCAGGCTTCCTTTTCAGCATTGCCCTCTCTGAATACCGTTTTGAAAGGTGGGCTCAATGTCCTGGTCTCATCCCCCTTGTGGATTCCCAAAGGTCCTCAAGAGCTATGGGACCTCCATAAGGGTCAGCCGTGGTGTGTCCTTTCCAGACGAGCCCAGCCGCCGGGTCATTATGGAGGCCTTTGCTGAGTTTGAACGTCTCACATGCATCCGGTTTGTTGCCTACAAGGGCCAGAGAGACTTCATTTCCATCCTTCCTATGTCAGGGTAAGTGCTGTTGGTACACGAGAGTGGGTTGTGTGTGTGCACGTGTGTATGTGTCTCTGTGTGTTTGTGTGTGTGTGCGCACGCGTCTGTGCTCCTGTGCTGAGCACAATCATACTCTGTTCATCCTTTCATGTACACAAATGTTATCTAAATCTAGTTCTTGGGTTCAAACCCAGTCTATCCTGACCTGGACCTTCTGGGCCAAAGGTGGGTAAGGGATGGCCACTGGTCATAGACCTTCTCTGCAAAGCCCTCACCTCCTGGAGGTCTTGTGGTATGAACCTGAGCAAATGTTGGGTCCTGGTTCTGCCACTCATTTGAGTCCAGGTGAGTGCCCTAGCTAAGCCTCTTCTGCCGTCCTTCTGTATTCTACCTTCATTGGGGCCTGACACGGGGTGGATGGAAGCTGTGACTCAGGCCTCTGGCCTCGGTCTGCTCACGTGATGACCTTACCTTCTATTTTGTATGAACGTCAGGTCCCACCTTTTGGCAGCCCAGGTGGTGATGAGGCTTTCTGTGATGCCCTCTTTACAGGCCAAGCCATCAAGAGACCTGGGAGATGGGACAGTAGGTCTGGGGCTAGAGTCCAGGATGGGGACGGACAGTCTTACTGGTCCATCCCAGGCCCTAGAGCAAGCACAGCAGGTGTCTGTCCTCCTGCTCTGACTCTTTAGGTGGACGCCCAGCTAGCTCACCACCAAGCCAGCTCGCTCTCATGGCCTTGCAGGTGCTTCTCTGGTGTGGGACGCAGTGGAGGGGTGCAGGTGGTGTCCCTGGCACCCACTTGTCTCCAGAAGGGCCGGGGCATTGTTCTACATGAGCTCATGCATGTGCTGGGCTTCTGGCACGAGCATTCACGGGCAGATCGGGACCGCTACATCCGTGTCAACTGGAACGAGATCCTCCCAGGTAAGCCAGCTGGTGCCCAGGCTAGGCTGGGCCTCAGTACCCCCCCTTCCTGAGGAACAGAGGCTTCAGGCCATGGCTGGAGTTGAGAAGTTGCTCCCCTCCCCTGCAGAGTTCATCCCCACGCTGTCCCTTTCTCGTGAGGCGAGTGGGAGTGTCCTCTGTGGCTGTTTCTTTGGGCCTCTAGAGTTGTACCCAAGAAAGAGAAAGGATGTCAGCCATTTGCTTTGTGTCTCACTTCTCTCCACTGCTGTCAGGCCTCGGGCTGTGAGGTTGGCAGTGCCCTATGAGTCTTCATCGGTGAGGACTCAGCGGTTCCCCCACGTTGCAGATGCTACTGGGGCGAGACTGTGACCCTGAGCCTAGACAGAAACTCAGAGTAGCTCAGACACAAGGGTCAGGCGAGGGGAAACACTGAAAGGCTGAGGTGCACGAGGTGGGCATCAATGGGCATGTGACTCAGAATACGCTGGAAGTGGCACAGCCAAGGCTGACAGAAGGCGACAGGTGTGCTGGGAGCGGTACAGGGAACAAATGGCAGCATAAGCCTGTAGGTGGGGATTAGGGCTCAGTGGTAAGAATGACAGCTGCCTTTGGCAGGAGGGAAGTTTTGGGGGACAGGGTCCACGGTGTGTTTGGGGGCACAGGAAGAGTCAGGGCTTCCTTCCTGCTGGTGGGAACTGCTGAGGGGCCTCTTCTGCTCTGGGGTTGGCTAGATGGAAGTGGGAAACTTGCCCCAGAGAAGCTTTGGGGTAACTGGGAAGAACATGGCAAAGGGATAGGATAGGAGCTGGGGCTGAGGGTGGTCATGATCTTTCCAAGTGCTCTTGGGGTGTTCGTAAGTACTCATCCTCTAACAGGCTGTGAGAAGCTAGATTTGAAAAGTCGGTCGGTATAAAATCTTGATCACGACGTAAAACGGAAGCCAATAACCAAACAACCCCCAAGCTGCTCTCCCTTAGGAATGATAGTCAAGGCTTTTAGTTCTGGAGGTTAAAGGAAGTGAAGGGTTTTTCAAAAGAAAGTAAAGGAAAAGGAAATTATGTAATCCTAGCACTCTGGAGGCTGAGGCAGAGGAATCGATTAGAGTGTGAGGGCTCGGCTACATAGACTCTGTCTTTAAGTAAACAATCCTAAAATGCTATTTTAAAATCAATGCTCTCTGGCTAAGAGTAGGCTCAGGGGAAGTGCAGGGGCGTTGATACTTATATCTATAAAAGCAAAGAGAACAAATAAATTAAACATGCCCATTTAAGTTTAAAAAATAACGGGGGATTAATTAAGGTAAAAGCATAAATTAGACTTAGAAAACAGTACTAATTAGAAACTCAAGAGCTGTTCTAACAATCAGATTGGCTCAAAAAGCTACCTAGCTAGGGCTAGCGACATAGAAAAGTGGTACAACCCTTGTTTGGTTTGTAACTGGGGTTCCATCCCTCGTGCCAATCAGCTATCCTAATGGGGAAAAGATGGCTCGCTCAAAGATCAAAAAGTGAGAATACATTCGCATTAATGTGCATAAACTCTGCCAGGGCATAAACCTAATCACAGTAATTCTGTGGGGACTCAGAGGTAGAAACTCCGCGGAAGCCGATGTGGAGACTCTCATTCCTATCTTTAGTTTTATGTATATATCTTTAATATGTTTCTATGGTGCTGCGGGGGTGGGGGGGGACTGAGCCCAGGGCCTGGTGCATGCTAGATACTTGATATTTTTTTTCTCTTTTCTGGAGATAGGGTCTCACTGTGTAGCCCTGGCTGTTCTGGAACTCGGAGATCCTCCGGCCTCTGTCTCCCAAGTGTTGGGATTAACGGTGTCACCACTACACCCTGCTGGATACTTGGTGTTTGAGTTAGAGGAATATATCGCCCATTCAAGATTATGTTTAATGATGAAGGGTCTCTGAAGAGAAGAAATTGGTATTTTTTTGGGGGAGGGGAATTCTGATTAGGAGGCTACTGGTGACCTTGGGGACCAACTTTCTGGGTCTGAAGGGGAAGGGTTGGGGAAAGGCGTAAGGAATAGCAACCCTTTTAGGAGTAGGCAGCAACCTTCCCTCCCTCACTGGCCTCGGGGGAAGAAGTGGGCATTTGGACCAACCAGGATGATGACTGCTGGGCTCCAGACCTTCAGCTTTGTCATCTAAGATGGAAAGATGAAGATGGTCTGGCTATTGAGGGGTCAGGCACCCGAATCCTGCATGGAGAGGACAGCACATCTTTGAATCTAGCTCAAGGAGTAGACATGGAACTAGTGTCTAGGGTACAGCAGCCATAGCTTTGTGGGTGCTGCGGATTTGCCAAGAGTAGTGTCATGCAAAGTGAACTGGGCAGGAGGAAGAGCTGGAGAGGGCTTATAGGAGGGTCATGGTTGCCTGCCCCTGAGGCACGCCCTGCTTCTAGGTATGGATTCCTTCCAGGGTCAAGAGGAGGAGTAGGGTAGCAAAGGTATGCGGCAAGTAGACCAGCTCAGAAAGAAGGCTTCGCAGGGGACTGAGACTCTTCCACTTGGCGGACTGTGAATTCTCGGAAGTTGCCCCATTTCCCCTCCTTTTCCTGTTCTCTGGTGGCTGTCCTCCTATTACACATCTTACAAAAGTATGTGTCTGTGCTTTAAGGCTTCGAAATCAACTTCATCAAGTCTCGGAGTAGCAACATGTTGGCACCCTACGACTACTCCTCAGTGATGCATTATGGGAGGTAAGCATCCTCCTTTCTGCATCCCCATCTCTGTCCCCCTTGGCTCCCCTCACCTCTGCCCCCAACTCAACCCCTTCCCTGAATCCCTCTCCTCTTGGCTCCGTTTCTCTGACCCCTTCCCCTTCTCCTAGCCCCTCCTTCCCCACACCCTTGCACTGCCCTCCTCGCCACTCGGCTACTGTGATCCTGACATAGGCCCCACCCCCGGCTCCAGGTTTGCCTTCAGCTGGCGCGGGCAGCCCACCATCATACCGCTCTGGAAGCCCGGGGTTCACATTGGCCAGCGGTGGAACCTGAGTGCCTCAGACATCACCCGGATCTGCAGGCTGTATAAGTGCAGCCCAGGTGTCCCTGACTCCCAGAGGAGGGGTGAGTGACAGGAGGAGTGACTGGGGCTCAAGTATGGGGGCAAAGATTGGTGAGGAGGTAAGGAGAGGTGGGCGGGGTCACTAACACTCACCACAATTGAGTTGGAAACACATTCGAAAGGAGTTAATACCCGCTAAAGACTAAAACCCCTTAGCAAAGAGAAACAACCCAGATAATGGACACCTACTGAAACTTAGGGTAGAAATAACTTTTTAATGTCAAAATATTAAATCTTAGGGCCAAGATAAGTTTCCCGCTATCCTCCATCTATTCAGTCTTGAAATGAAGGCCTTAGCCACTGCAAGTAAGGCAAGAAAAAGATAAAGTTCTGGTGTTTAAAAAGGAAGCAGAAACTGCCTGGCAGTGGTAGCACACACGCCTTTAATCCCGGCAATTTCGAGGCAGAGGCAAATGAATCTCTGAGTTCTAGGCCAACCTGGTCTACAAGAGTGAGTTCCAGGATAGTCAGGGTTACAGAGAGAAACCTTGTCTCAAAAAATACCCTCCCCCCCAAAAAAAAAAACCCACAACAGAACAAGGAAGCAAAAATTGTCACCAATCATAGATTATGATACTGAAACAAGCAAAATCTATAAACAAATTATTAGGATTAGGATACTTTTAATATATCAATATATTCAATTTAAGAATTGTATTTTTGCAAGCCCTCAAAAATAACTTTAAAAAATATTTTCTTATAATAATAATAAAAATAAGAGTACAGAAGCTATATAAAATATAAGGAAGGACTGGAGAGATGGCTCAGCAGTTAAGAGCACTGTCTGTTCTTCCATAGGTCCTGAGTTCAAATCCCACCAACCACATGGTAGGTCACAACCATCTGTGCCCTCTACTGCCTTCTTCTGGCATGCAGATGCACATGCAGATAGAGCATTCATACAAATAAACTTTTAAACTACAGGGGAAAACACTTATTTAAAAAATTGCCATGTGGGGCCTTAAGAGCTCAGAGGTCAAGAGCGTGCTCTTCCAGAGGCCAATTCCCAGGTGGCTCACAACCATCTATAATGAGATCTGGTGCCCTCTCCTGGCATGCAGGCAGAACACTGTATATATAAGAAATAAATCTTTACCAAAAACGCCATGTGTGATACACAGCCTTGGGAGGCTAAGGGAGAAGGGCCGGTCAGAAGTTTGAGGCCAGCCTGGCCCAAGTAGTGACAATCTGTATCAGAAACATCTGGATATAGCAGTGAATGCTCTAGCTACAGATAAAGAAGATGGGGTTTAAAATCTTAAACTTCCTTGTTTGGTCTCTTGATTCAATAAATTCACACTCAAGAGACTGGGAAGATGGCTCAGTGGTTAAGGGCAAGCAGGCACCTGCACATACCTCCTCCATATATTTAAAAACATAGTAAATCTTTTAAAAATTAACAGTAAGAATTATAATTTTGATAATATTGGAGGGGCAGCTTATGTGAGATGAAAGACCTAAGAACCAAGACTTTCCTAAGTAGTGAAGGGGCCTGGAGTGGTAGCACAGACCTGTAATCCTTGCAGGGTAAACTGAGGCGAGAGGATGTTAATTTAAGGTTAGCCTAGGCTACTGCAGTTAATCCGAGGTTAGCCTGGGCTACATCATAGTGATCCTCTCTTCAAAACCAGCAACAACACCAAAGGGATGTGGAAAGTCTGCCCCAGCCAGTTATGAGTTTACAAAATGTCCTTACATCAATGTAAAACACATACATGTCTAGATGCCTGTATACATTTTAAATATAGGGCTTTATTTACGTGCCTGGGATGGGTGCAGAGAGGAAAGTTTTGAAATGGATCCTATTTGAACTAAAACTTAGTGGACAAGGTGGCACAAGCCTTTAATCTGATCCCTACTCTGGAGAGGCAGAGGCGGGTGGATCTCCCAGTTGGCTACCAGTCTGCTCTACATAGTGAGCTCCAGGACACCCAGAGCTACATAGTGAGAACCTGTCTCAAAAAAAATCAAACGTGAAACCTCCAGAAGGGGGGCCTTGATTATGACAGAAAAGATGGCTTAGTGGTTCTCAACCTTGGGAGTTGAGCAATCCTGTCACAGAGGTCGCATATCAGATATTTGCGTTCTGATTCATAACAACAAAATCACAGCAATGAAGTAGTAATGAAAATGAGGGGGTCATGGAAGGAGGAGACTGTATTAAATGGTCAGAGCATTAGGAGGGTTGGGGACCACTGCTCTAGATGGTCCTGAGTCCACTCGGTATCTACAATCACGCATCATTGCATTCTGTCCTGCATAAAAGACTTGGATGTGCATGGAGAAACTTTGAAAAATTTAGCAAGAAACATAGTGAAATGCCTTTTATAACATCGGGGTAGGGAAGACTTTCTTCACAGAGGAACTTAACACTAGAAAGATTAATCTGACAGAAAGCATAATAAGGGCTGTTTAAGAGACACCACAGGTAAAGCTAAAATACAAGTTATAAAGTAGGGGTGCTTCTGAACATAACTAGTGGTGTTCTGAATTTAGAAATAGCTGTAAACAGAAAGTCAAAATATCCGGTAGAAAAATGCGCGAGGTGGTTAACGGGCATCTGGGAAGAAAGCAAATGATGAGCAATTACAGCAGTCGCTCTCCCTAAATTAGCAGAAGTCTACTATCTCAGGGATAGCAAATGCAAATGAGGCAAAGGGTAATGTCTGCATCCCGCTGACGGCCCCATAGGTGGCTGCACCCCTCCTGGAAGACAGCATGACCCCTAGCGAAGCTGCTGTGCATGCCTGTGGCCCAGATTTCATTTCTAGGTCACCTCCACCTGGTCCCACCCTCTTTCCCCACCAGCCCCAGTTAATCACTAACCCACCTTCTGCCTCTATGGATTTACCTCGTCTAGACATTTTGTATAAATGGAGCACGTGCTTTTTGTGTCTGGCTTGCTGCCCTCAGTAGGACCTTTGCTGTTCATCTGTTATTGTAATCCTCTTCTGCTGAATGCCATTCACATCTCATTTATTCACCAGCTGATGAGCATTTGAGTTACTCCTGCTTTGGGGCCACTATCAATATATTATGTTGGTATCTATCCCAGCCATACTTGGCTGTCTTTCAAAGCAGTTGATCCACTTACAAACTCCATTAGCTATGTAGGTGGCTACCAGCTTTTCTGCATAACTGCCAGGGTTTATAGTCTATGCTTTTGATTACAAACATCTCGGTGGGTATGGAAATATTTATTGTCATTCTGATTTGCATTTTTCTAATGGCTAACCACATCCGGCCTCTTCAAGAGATGGCTGGCCATCTGTATACCTTTTTGGTTTTAGACAAATGTCTACAAAGATTCTTTGCCTCATTTTCAGTTGGGTTAGGTTTTCCTTGTTGAATTATAAGACCCTTTAAAAACCACTCTTTAATGATACCGCATTTGGAACTATTGCCTCACATGCTGTGTGCTTGAATTTTGCCTCCTGGATGAACAGACCCCCCCAGACCCCCCCCTCACTTTATTTTGAGACAGGGTCTCACTATGCAGTGGTGGCTGTCCTGGAACTCAATATATAGACTAGTCTGGCCTCTATCGCAGAGATCAGCCTGCCTTTTCCAGTGCTGAAATTAAAGGCATGTGCCACCATGCCTGGCTTAAGTATCATTTCTTTTTTTTTTTTTTCTTTAAAGATTTATTTTCGTGAGCATTGGGTTTTGCCTGCATGTATTTTCATCTGTGTGAGGGTACCAGATCCCCTGGAGTAACAGACAGTTGTGAGCTGCCATGTGGGTGCTAGGAATTGAACCTGGGTCCTCTGGAAGAGCAGCCTGCGGCTCTAAACTGCTGAGCTGTCTCTGCAGCCCTTAAGTATCATTCTTAGTGTCACTCTGACATGTATACTTTTAATAATCAAATATTACGTAATTTCTCTTCAAATTAGAGGATGAGATGATGTGAGATTGCAGGTCAGTCCGGAGCTCCGACTCTAACAAAGAGCAGAGAACTGGGACACAGTTAGGAGGGACTGGTACTCGGGAAGATTGCTGTCACAGTGGTGGGCAGATTGGCATGTCTGGGTGTTGAAATGATGGCACAGTGGAGAGAGGGTGGGTGCTGGAGGAGAAAGGAAGGTGGTCCGTCAGAACTTGAGGGAGGGTCTGGCCTGCCCTTGGAGGGAGGACACGAACTTGGCCGTGATGGGAAGGAAGACAACAGCAGTGGACCTGAGTCCATGTGCAGATCTGGAGGTGGTTGTCGGTCTGTGGCCTGGGCTGTGCCCAGGGAGGTGAGGCTGCCGGCAGAGCAGTGGGAGGGTCCTGAAGGACAGAGCACCTGAATCTGGCAGAGACGGCAGGACATAGGGTCGTGCTGGGGACTGAGGTGTGGCGGGGACTTGGCGACAGAAGGTGGCTGGAGATGTGTCCACAGGGACGATGGCAGCCAAGGTGGGCGGCAGAGCTGATAGAGGGCACTGCTGCCTGAAGGTGAATTATTAGAAATGGCGACAGCTCTGGTGGTTTCTGGTGATGCTGGAGTTCAGAGTGCGGGCATGGGCTGTGAGCAGGAGAAGCAGGCAGGAGGAGGGCCACTGGCCACAGGAGCACGGACTGGTCACTATACGCTGATGGGAGATTATGGTGTGTAAGCAGGAAGGACGGCATCCACTGAGGCAGATAACTTGGGTCACGAAACTCGAGTGTTTCCACAAAGCAGTGTCAGTCATGGCCTGGGTGTGGCAACAAAGAGAAAGCAAAGACTGGAGAGCTTCTGATGTCCTCCCTTGGTTTGAACAGGAATGGTCCCACAAGATACTGGGAGTTTGGCTCTGTACCCTCTTAAGTACAGCCGAAGGCCAACATGAATCCTTGCGGCAGTGCTAAACACACTTTCTGTGATTCTGAGACCTAACTTCTGCTCTCCCCTGCTTTAGGGTTCAAGGCCCACAGTGATGAAAGAAGCCTCATTCCTGCCTCCGTATCACATCTACAGAGACTTCTGGAGGCACTGTCGGGAGAATCTGGAAGCTCTGCCCCCAGTGGCTCCAGCGCCGGAGACCAGGGTATTATTTCCGGGCTGGTAGACAGCCAGCAAGGATTGGGGCATCCTGCTCAGGACACGTTCAGTGGGGTACCTTTGGCAGGACCGCCTCAGATGCTAGCTGCTGCTTTGGGGCCCGGAACAGGTGCAGACGGCATTTCTCCAGGGCAGTTCCAGCTAGCCCAGGAGCCCACTGTACCTCCTGCTTCATTTCCAGAAGGCAGAGACCAGCCAGCACCCATCCTCCATGTCTTTGACAGCCCAGCTCTGCTTCCGGGAGGTTGTGCACCTGGAAGTCATGCTGGAGAAGTACCTAGAGACTGAGCCTGTCAACTTCCGTCCCTTAGTGGGGAGGAGGGTGTATTCTGCCCAGAGCAGCTAGCTCATCTAGTCCTTGTCCATCTGGGCACCATTCCTTCTCTTCTGCCCTCTTCACTGGCCACTCTTGGATCCCCAGGACACTCTTTGGTCTCTTCCCTACCACACCCCCATCTCTGCAGAGTTCCTAGGGATGTCTGTCTGTCCTTGACTTGAGCCCTAGCTATGGAAGATGCTGGGCGTGGAGACGGGATCCTGGGAGTGGTGGGCAAAGAGCAAGATTCCAGCCCTGAAGGCCTCTGGGAGTTCTACAGCAGAGGACTAGTTCCCAGAATGCTCCCTTGAGCATGGACCTCAGGGGAAGCCCTGTGACTGGGATCCTGAATATCTTCCTTTCTGTGATGCCTGGCTCTAAGGATGTTCTGAAGCCCTGTTCTCCAAGAGGCAGAGAGCCCACTTTGCCTTCTAAGGTGGACTAGTAGGAGGTGGCTTTTTACCAGTCTCTGTGATGGAAGCCGTGACAAGACCACCGTCTCCGGACAGCAGCCTTGAACCTTAGTCACACCTTAGATCACCGTTTCTGTTGTTTTGCCCACAAGGTGCTGAGCTAGAAGCCCCTGGGGGTTGGGAATCCCAGTGCTCATCATCCTTCAGCCATGCCACACCCCTCCTTGGTCTTCCATGAGGTTTCTTCTAGACTAGGGTCTGGGCCTGGAGCCCTTCATTCTCCAGGAGCCTGTTGGGAGGCCCAGGAAGCCCTGCTTGGTGTGGGAGGGGAACCAGAACCCTGAACTAGTGAGGCAGGGCACCTTCTCCACTGGGGAAAAGGCAGAAATAAAGTTGGGTGTTTGCTTCATGCTGTGTGCTGCACTGACTGTTCAGATGGCCACTCACTCGGGCTCTTGGGGAGTCCTATCCCACACTCTACAGAGGGCCGGGCTTCTGTCACAGGTGGACTTGCTCGAGGTGGCAGGAAGCAAGAGGCACAGCAGTCTGGTGTCCTGAGGGTTGTGAGAACTTGGCCTTTGCCACCTTCCTGGAGAGGTCACGTGGTAGTGTTGCCTCAGGGGCCACGAGGACTCTGCAGCCTCTGCCCTCAGTCTAGGATAAGCTTCAGAACAGGTTTCCTGAGATTGAATGGGGGGCAGTGCTGGGTATCCATCTCAGCAAAGGAGCATGCCCAGGGATCTACCCCTTCTCTCTCTCTCTTTCTCCCTTTCTCTCCCTTTTTCTTTCTTTCTTTCTTTCTTTCTTTCTTTCTTTCTTTCTTTCTTTCTTTCTTTCTTTCTTTCTTTCTTTCTCTCTCTCTCTCTCTTTCTCTTTCTTTCTCTCTCTTTCTTTCTTTCTTTCCTTCTTTCTTTCTTTCTTTCTTTTTTTCTTTCTTTCTTTCAATCTTTCTCTCTCTTTCCTTTTTTTTTTTCTTTCTTTTCCAGGGTTTCTGTGGCTATCCTGGACTCACTTTGTAGACTAGGCTGGCCTCAAACACAGAGACCCACCTGCCTCTGTCTCCCTGAGTGCTGGGATTACAGCCGTGCACCACTGCCCCCCTTCTTTTTTAGATTTATTATGCATACAATGTTATGCATGTGTGCCTGCAGGCCAGAAGAGGGCACCAGATCTCACAGATGGTTGGGAGCCACCATGTGGTTGCTAGATACTGAACTCAGGACTTCTGGAAGTGCTCTTAACCTTTGAGCCATCTCTCTAGCCGTGGTCCCTTTTCTTGATCTTGGATACAGGAGAAGGTGCTGTCTGCCTGTGATGTTAGGAAGGTGGGGCTCTGGCAGCATTTCTCAGAACAGCAACGGCCCCACCAAAGGAGACTAGACAGAAGCATCTAAATATGGCTGCCTGTGACATCTCTCGAGTGTCCAGACCAGGCATCTGCCACTGGACCGGGCTGTCCAGGGGCCCCACCAGATCAGAGGAGGGGTCTGCTCTCCCAAGGCAATCACGAGCTCCTCTAAGATGTAGGTAGCTCTTGTGTTCAAATCCAGTTTCAGGAGATTGGGATGAATGAATCTGGCGGCACCTCTTGCTGGGGGTGGCCAGGAACAAAGTTGTCCTGTCAGCCCCTCCCCCAAGGGAAGCCATGTGGCCCTGTGGCCCTGTGAGAGCCTGGTCTCCATGACAGTTCTGGGTACTGGAGTGGTGTTCCAGACCTGAAAGCTGATCAGACTGGCTTAGCCACCTACCCAAACTCCAGCAGCATGGCTATGTGGTGGTGTTCGCTTCTGGGATTGATTTATTCAATAGCACTTATGAACATTCATTAGATGGCAGGGAGACTCTATTATGGGCACCAAGGTAGGGAAAGGGACAATAACTGGCTAATAGATAGGCATCTTGAGGTGATAAATGGCAGGGAAGGGGGATCACTTGGAGGCTATAGGCTTCCCACTTATAGGAAGGGCTCCTGTAAGAATGCAAGGCGGGAAGGACGGGATTTCTGGCTGGTGCATTAGGTAGAGTGAGGCAGGCAGGGATAGAATCGGGGAGGGATTCCCAGAATAGCCTGGAGTAACAGTGTAATTTAAGGCTTAAGGCATTCTAGGCCTGTGTGTTTGAGTCATGCCTTTAATCCTAGCACTTGGAAGGCAGAGGCCAGCCTGGTCTACAGAGTGAGTGCCAGCATAGCCAGGGCTACACAGAGAAACCCTGTCTTGAAAAAACAAACACCACCACCAACAAAAAACATCAAACAAACCAAAGACATTCTAAATGCCCCATTGGAAATAGGAAGGAGAGAGTCTTGGCCAAGGTAAAGTGAGAGGGAAGGGTCCCCTGGGCACATTGTGTGGTTTGAGGTAGCATGAGTGAGGGGCAAAGCCAAGTGAACAGCAACTCTGAAAGCTGAACTTAGAAGTAGGGGTGGAGGATCTGGTAGGCCTGAGTCAGCTGTAGGCTATCACAGGGTGGGTCAATGAAGGGGTAATCACAAAGGTCCTGGGTCCAAGGGGACAGCAGGATAGCAGATGCGCCCCAGCATGAAGGGGTATCACCACTGGGTGAAACTCCTGCAGAATTTAGATGCAGGATTGAACGTCAAAGTGGTGGCTCTAGATCTCAGCACCACTGTCCCCCTCCGTGGGCTAGTCCTTCACTGTGGTGTTGATGTCGGCTTAGCCTCACTGAGGAAAGCGTCTCAAGGCATGGTCCTTGCGGGGTGAGTAGGACCAAGGTCCTCTGAGGTGGACTTTGAGGGAACAGGACGATGAGGAGGAGTGGTGCCTTGAAGTTCTGCACAGCTAAGGGGTGGTCTTCACTCCTGGTCTACTGAGGAAGAGGACGCAGGCAGGGCTTGGCTCTTGGCGACTCACGACTCACGGCTCTGGAGAGGAGGCTGCATTCCTAACCCCAAGGGGGTGAAGAATGCGTGTGTGTGGGGGACCACAGGGGATTGAAGGCAGCCTGAGGTGGTGGTGGGAGCAGTAACTGAGGGGAGCAGTGACTGCATGAGGGAGTTGCCGGAGGAACGGAGTGTGGAACGGAAGCTGACCACACAAAGCAGTGCTTCTCGACCTGTGGGTTGCTATTCGTGTGTGTGTGTGTGTGTGTGTGTGTGTGTGTGTGTGTGTGTGTGTGTGATGGAACGATTGTCTCACAGGGGTGCGGTATCAGACATCCTGCATACCAGATATTTACACTATAATTCATAACAGCAGCAAACTTAGAGTTATAAAGCAGCAAGGGAAAGAATTTTCTGATCGGGGTCACCACGACATGAGCTGTATCGAAGGCTTGTGACATCAGGAAGGCGGAGAACCTTGATGTAGTGTTCTGGAAATAAGGGTCTCTTGGAAGGGAGAGTGTGCAGCACACAGGGGTGGGATCAGCCCCAGGGGTGGCTAAGGGAGAGAGGTGCTACAGGGTGCTAGACCTCCACCAGAGACTCCGTGCCACTGCCTCAGCTCCTGGATGTCACACTTGTCCCTAGTGGGATCCCAAGACCAGCTTGCCTTTCTTTGGAATAAGATGGTATCACCTACGTGCAAAATCACCTTTCCCCTATCACCTGTCTTTCCAGGGATGTCACTCTAGGGCACCATAGACACAGTGGGTGTGGGCACATTTGTGTCTCTTCCCCTCTCTCTGGTTGTGGCAGTCCCACCGCACTGGAGAGCTAGTGGCAGGACAGCCTGAGGTGAGGAGGCCTGGCTCAAAGTGCCCCCAGGCGGCTGGGCATGGTGGTCTGGACACTGCCTGTCTGAGCCTGAGTTGGGGAAAGACTGGTCTGTAGTGAGCTTTGGTGTCTTTAAAAACCCATTTATGTTATGTGAACATGTTTTTGTTTTAATCCCAGGTGTGGGAGATGGGGCTGCTTCAGTTTGTCCACAGCCGTTAACTATGATTGTCTCATGCCCTAGCAGGGGCGTGGTTTTGCTAGCTACAGATGGTTTATGTTTGGAATTCTGGGGACTCTTGAGAGGGACTAAATTGGAGAGACCTGAGAGGGGCCAGAGGCACTTGGCAGGAGGAGGAGTAGCTGCTGCTTCCTTGCTGCTGATTGCCATGTTTGCTACTGCAGGGCTGCTGGTTTGCTGAACCGGCGCAGATTCTGACGATGCAGAGGGGACTTGCCTCAAGACCGCCCTTACCCGCATCTTCTTTCTCTCCTACCTAGTGTTGGGGAGGTGGGTTGGAAGGGAGTTAGAGATATTAGAACCCAAATAACATAGCAAAAAGATGTCTATGCCGATCTTTGGGGACCCAAAGGTGGGGACATGGCAGCTCGCACAGTGATGGCCATGAGGAGTGAAGATCCAGTGGACTCACTGACTTGAAGTGGGGGTTGGGAGCGGACTCCATTTTCAGGGATTAATTTCTATACATTCATATAATAATGCCCTTCTGAACTAGGAGCTATAAATACAAAGCCTGGTTCTTTCCATGCAAGCTGTGGAGAAACCTCCTTGAGGCTGGGGGAGTCAGGAAAGGCCTATTCAAAGTCTTTGTTTGTTTGTTTTTAAGATTTACTATTTTATGTGTGAGTGTTATAGGCACGGTGGTCAGGTGAGGTTGTCAGATACCCTAGAACTAGAATTTCAGACGGTTGTGAGCTGACATGTGGGTGCTTGGATCTGAAATGTGTCCTCTGCAGGAGCAGCAGGTGCTCTTAACTGCCGAGTCAGTTTTCCAAGTTTCTTCTTCCTGCTGCCACCAGGGAGGCTGTCTCAGCATCTGGAGCAGTCAAGGCCAGCTCCTTTCTACACCATAGCCACCAACAGCAGCTTTTCCCGAGCTAGAGAGGTCTCGTTCTTGACCTAGGTCTTCTCATGCTGCTCTGGAGGAGGGACCTCCTTTTTTCATTGGTCCATTGGCTTCTCTCCAAGCCTTTGCTTTGAGTCCAAGCTGGCTTCCCTTTTTAAAGTTTGTTTTTAAGCTGGGCATGGTGGCGCAAGCCTGTAATCCCAGTACTCTTGGAGGCAGAGGCAGGTGGATCTCTGTGAGTTCGAGGCCAGCCTGGTCTACAAAGTGAGTCCAGGACAACCAGGGTTACACAGAGAAACCCTGTCTTGAAAAACAAACAAACAAACAAACAAACAAACAAACAAACCCCTTAATTGTTTTAAAGTATGGGTGGGTAAGTGCACGGGAGTGTAGGTACCGGTGGAGGCCAGATGCAGGTCAATACCTGGCGTTGGAGTTATAGTTTTGAGTCGCCTTGTGGCCGCTGGGACCAGAACTCGGGTCCTCTGCAAGGGGCACCCTGACCTCTGAGCCATCTCTCCAGCTGCCCCTCTCCCTTTTAACTTTTTTGCTCTTCATGAGGAAAACTGAGCCGGCCATAGGGTGGTGTAGCGTACCGGTCACATCCCACGGGGAGTTCTCAGCTCTTTTGGTGTCCCTGCGACCGGAGAGGCTGCCGGTCCCCAGGTTCTGCCCTTAGACGGCAGCAGAGGGCGCTCGCAACACAGAGACGCGATACTTGCATCTCGCAAGTTGGACCCAGTGGAGCCTGGGTGGGGAAGCTTTAGGAAAGGGGGTTCGGAATTCTCCCTCCCTCCGGTCCGGCCCCTAAGGTTCTCGGCCGCTGGGAAGCTGGATAGAGGTGTGGCTTATTACGCTTAAGCGCCCAACACTCCCCTACACGCTTTCTAGAGCGGTCGGGCTGCTGAAGGCGACGTGAGCTCTCATCTACCACCCCAGAGGTGGGTGCTCGGTCCCAGACTCGCAGACGGAAGGCTAGTGGACTCTCGGGACAGACGAGCTCCGGGTCTGAACGAATCCTTCCCGGAACGCCGAAGACCCCAGACTCCCTGCTCTCTCGGGTCCTGGCTGCGCGGCGGCGGGAAGAAGCGAGGCGTTGGGGGCCCGGGTGAGTAAAGGGTGCGGGCTGCGGGTCCACTTTCCCCGCGGAGCGCACCTTCCACCACCCCCCACGAACCGCCCGCCCCGCCTCCTCCCTTCCTCCAGCTCCCGCCCCCGTCTCCTCCCTCCGCCCGCCTCGCTCGCTCTCCTCCCCACGCCCCTGCTCAGCCCGCGGAGTGCAGGCGCGGATCCGGGAGAGAGGGCGCCTTCTCCCAGCGCCGGCTGCGCCTTCCCCGCTCGCTTCTGTGCGTCCCGCAGCCGTGCGGCGCGACGGCGCGACTTTCCTCTGGTCCCGGGACGGCAGTGGGACAACTTGGAAAACTTCTCTGGGGCAGACTGCGGAGACGCCGGGCACTGGTGGGAGAGGTTGTGGGAGAGGGATGGCTGGTCACGGGTGTCCCCGGACCTCCTAGGCCGCTTTCGGGCAGGCTATGGGACATCTGCACCGCCGGGGGGACGACCCCCAGCAGTAGCGGAGCCAGGGTGGCGCTGTCTCCCACGCGCCGTGGGTTTGGCCAGCACCGGTCCCTCTGGACGCGTCCGGCCCCACCATGGACTACCAGGAGCCCTACTCGGTGGAGGCCACCGCCGCCATCGCGTCGGTTATCACCTTTCTCATCCTTTTCACCATTTTCGGCAATGCGCTGGTCATTCTGGCCGTGTTGACCAGCCGCTCACTCCGCGCACCACAAAACCTGTTCCTGGTGTCACTGGCGGCCGCCGACATCCTGGTGGCCACTCTCATCATCCCTTTCTCTCTGGCCAACGAGCTGCTGGGCTACTGGTACTTCTGGCGCACATGGTGCGAGGTCTACCTGGCGCTGGACGTGCTCTTCTGTACCTCCTCCATCGTGCACCTGTGCGCCATCAGCCTGGACCGTTACTGGGCAGTGAGCCGGGCGCTGGAGTACAACTCCAAGCGCACCCCGCGCCGCATCAAATGCACCATCCTCACTGTGTGGCTCATTGCAGCCGTCATTTCCCTACCGCCCCTCATCTACAAGAGCGACCAGCGCCCGGAGCCCCGCGGGCTCCCCCAGTGTGAGCTCAACCAAGAGGCGTGGTACATCTTGGCTTCCAGCATCGGCTCTTTCTTTGCTCCCTGCCTCATCATGATCCTCGTCTACCTGCGAATCTACGTGATTGCCAAGCGCAGCCACTGCAGAGGTCGCAGGGCCAAGAGGGCCTCAGGGGAAGGTGAGTCCAAGAAGCCCCGTCCTGTCGTTGGGGGAGCGCCAACCTCAGCTAAGGTGCCCACCCTGGCCTCTCCTCTGTCTTCTGTGGGAGAGGCCAATGGACACCCCAAGCCTCCAAGAGAGAAGGACGAGGAGGAGAGCGCTGAAGATCCTGAGTCCAGGGCTCTGCCTCCCGGCTGGTCTGCCCTTCCCAGATCAGCCCAGAGCCAGAAGAGGGACCCTGGTGGGGTAACTGCAGAGGAAGCAGCGGAAGAGGAAGAGGAGGTGGGAGAACGCGAACCCCCAACACTGCCAGCGCCTCCCGCCTCAGTACGCGGCCCAGCCTTGCAGCAGCCTCAGGCTTCCCGGGTGCTGGCTACACTGCGTGGCCAGGTGCTTCTGGGCAGGGATGTGGGTGCTGCCAGCGGGCAGTGGTGGCGCCGGAGGGCACAGCTGAGCCGAGAGAAGAGGTTCACCTTCGTGCTGGCGGTGGTCATTGGCGTCTTTGTGGTCTGCTGGTTCCCTTTCTTCTTCAGCTACAGCCTGGGGGCCATCTGCCCCCAGCACTGCAAGGTACCACATGGCCTCTTCCAGTTCTTCTTCTGGATCGGCTACTGCAATAGCTCGTTGAACCCGGTCATCTACACCATCTTCAACCAGGACTTCCGCCGTGCCTTTCGCAGGATCCTTTGCCGGCAGTGGACTCGGACTACCTGGTGAGCCTGCCTGCTCACTGCCTGTGCCTGGGTTGGTACCAGGACCACCCCCCATAGTCTATGTGGCCACTTCCCTGGGACCCACTTGCAGACCTCATCCTCAGGCCCCCTCCCGCCCCCCCCCAAAGGGGAAAGAACAAAAGTGCTGTTCCAAGGGGCCCATTTGAAACCTCCCCTTGCTGACTGTACTGTGGGGTAACTTTTCCCTACTCTCTCCTGAGCAAGGGTAGCTTGGACCTTTCCAAATGTGGCCAAGGACAGACAGGAATAGAATACCTCCCTACCAGCCACCTGTAAGCCAACAGGCAGGCTTCCCTTTCCTGGAGACCCCCTGTGCCTTGGCAGGCCACTTGTGGTGGTTTTGTTGTTCTTCTTGTTGTTCTTTTGTTTGTTTGTTTGTTTGATTTTTATTTTTTTGAGACAGGGTCTTCTAGCCCAGATCAGTCTCAGACTCGCTGTGCAGCCTAAGGATGATCTTGAAATTCTGGTAATCCTGCCGTCACCTTCCAGTGCTAGCATTACAGGTGTTCACCACCATGCCTGGTTTTTGTGATACGGGGGATTGGATTCCGGGCTTCAAGCATGCTAGGCAAGCATTCAACCAACTGAGCTACATCCCCAGCCTTGATCTTCCTCATGCCCTTCAAAGAGCAGGACGCCAGTCTTCTGCATGTCCCAGGAGGACCTGATGTTGAGAAAGAGGATGAAATGAAGATGATTCACCCATGTTGAGCACCTGTGGTTCAGTGACTACTGGGATGGGGTAGTTATGGGCTAGCATTGTTCTGTTTAGATTTGTAGCTCTTTTAAGGCTAGAAGCATGGGTTGGTTTTCTCACTCAGCATCCCTCTGGGAGGCAAGTGGGCATGTGGATGCCGGGGGAGAGGGGGTCTGGAAGCCTGGCCTCAGCCTCAATAGGGGCTCCTGATCATTGGCATTCACCCTTGCAAAGAGCAGAGCGACAATTGCCTGCCGCCTACTTGCGGCAGGGAGATGAAAGGCTTTGCAGAGAGCTTTGAGCTCCATGGGGGAAAAGCGCTAGAGAGCCAGCAAATGTGATTATCTGGTGATATAAAAATCCCTTTCCTGTGTGTTTACCGCTGTGAGCCTTCCTGTAGACTTTTGTTCTGTGCTTGGGGTGTGTGAATTCCTACCCCAAACTGGAAGTGGGTTGAGGTGAATTCCAGAATTTCTTTGAGAATACATTCTTGTGCCTGAAAAGGTTGGCGCTATTATGCTGATGTCGGCTTCTCCATCGGTTACCTGTAACACCAACAGAGTTCTCAGTGGCTTGGTACCAGCCCCATTAGGGGATAAGTCCTTTGTCATCGAGCAGGCAAATCGTTTCCCTAAGCTAAAAATACTCACATCAAGGAAGCAGTCTGAGATGAGATCCTCAGGTGGAGTGCTGGGGCTAGAGCAGAGCCACCCTCTGCGGGGCCCGGACAACTCCCTGAACCCCATGTGGGCCTGTGGAGACATAACTAATTCTGCCCTAGCCTAGAAGCACGTCTCTCTGGCTGTTAAGAACCCTCACAGTGATATGGCTATGCACCGGGGCGCCTCTGCCTCCTGGTTGTCTCCCCAACTTAGGAAGTGCTCCCCAGAGTGACTGGGCACCTATAAGGGCACCTGTAGCTTGGGCAACAGACCTCTTAGCCTCTGGGAAGGGACAGCTTGAGCCAAGCAGGCTATTAGTCCAGGATGGATTTATCAGATTTGGAAGGTGCTAAGGGAGTTTTCACGAGTAGAGACAATGGTGGGTACCAGGTAGAATCCCCCCTAGAGAGGATGACTGGTCCTGGGTTGGTTGGTTGCAGTTGTGAGGCCAGGACATTGATTTGGGTGTGGCTGGGGGCTGATTGTTTGTTTGTTTGTTTGTTTGTTTATTTGATTGGTTTTGGTTTTTTGGAGACACATTTTCTCTGTGTAGCCCTGGCTGTCGTGGAACTCACACTCCCTCGACCAGGCTGGCCTTGAACTCACAGAGATCCACCTGCCTCTGCCTCCCACGTGCTGGAACTAAAGGCATGTGCCACCAGCTGAGGGGCTGATTTGTAACCATCTGTTGGCTGATCTTGGGTATGCTCCTTGGGACCCAGGCCCCCTGTTGTGATATGCAGGTGTTTCTAAGACTCTGAACTATTTTATCAATAAAGGTTATTTTGTAATAAGCAAGATGAGTCCTGTTTCTAAAGGGTTGCCTGGAGAAGTTAGGTCACTCTTGGCATTCCTTGAGTGTCAGCCTGATGAGCCGAGTCTCCCTCCTAGGGCTAGCTCTCCTCTCTGCCCAACCTTTCTGACTCTTTTTCATCCTCACAGTATTCTTACTGAGCACAAGTCAGTGAGACCAGCTGATCTGCAAGGGAGAGAAGAGAGAAGAGCAGGCATCCCTGAGGAGGTGGCATTTGGGCTGGGCTGGGTCTTAGAGCAGGAATGCACGAAGTGGCCAGGTGAGAAAGTCCGAGGCAGGGGAAGGCCACGTAGAGTTGATGGTATCCGGGAGACAGTTTGGAACTCTCCTGCTGCATGGTCCTGAGAAGCAAAGGTGCCACTGAGGGCAGGCCACTGTGGAACGCTGTACACACAGCAGCTGTGCTTGGTTAGGTCCAGGTGAGCACAATGGAGATGCTTCTCTTCAGCTATCTCAAATGGATACTCAGCTCTCCAAGATGGGAGGCCTGGTGAGGTGCCCAAAGCCCAAGCTATTCTGCCTCAGAGAGGGCAGAAGAGGCAGCCTCTTGGGCTCCAAGCTGGGCTGACGGGTTCCGAGAGCAAGGAAAGAGCCATCAAACTGGAGTCTGGAGGTCACCGACAGGGCCGAGGCCCTCTGTAGATCCCTCTGGAGGCACTAGGGAGGATAGAGGGAGGAGCAGTGAGTGATCTAAGGTACGGGGATGCTCTGCTCCCACATTTCCTCCAATCTACACTTTCCCCATCTTCATTACTTTCTTTAGGTCCATGTATCTGCTAGGGGCAATCACCAGAAATGCCCGCGTATCCACTGCCATCAACAGACATGGGATTTGCTACTAATCTAACAAGAAAGCCCTTCCCTGCCCTGTTCCTGGCTCTTCCCCAGCAGGGCAGCCAGCTCTGAGGACTCCAGAGCCTCATACCGGCATTTGCCCATCTCATCAGGGAAATAAAACTCAGAAAGGTGCACTCACCACAGGGTCACTTAAGGCCCTGGTCTCTCCGTTGGACCACATTTTTCTGTCGCTTAAGAGGCTGCAAAGGGCCTGGAAGTTGATGGCCACTGATCTCTGGGAATGGAGGCATGTGGTCACCCTGCTGGAGTAGGGCTAAAGAGTCCTAGTGCAAACCAATAAGTCTTACTTAAATCTCATTTAACCCATGTACTCTTGCTATGTGTAGTCATTTTACAAGAGAGGAAACTGAGACACAAGGTCACCCAACTGAAACATGGAACCACACAATTATGACATCCAGGCTGAGGAATTTGCCGCCCCCCTTTCTGTCTCTGTCTCTCTCAACAGCCTTTCTTCAGTAATGTTGGTGGTATGGCGGTTCTGAGGCTGGGAGCCAGTTGCATTCAGTATTTCAGTAGGCTGCGGTGCTGGGATTGATTGTTCATGTCTGTCACTGACACCAAATACCTAGGAGGTAGTCTGTGTGCCTCAGGCTTTCCACTTCTGGCAACTCTGTTGAGGGTCTAGTTCTGAGGGCCCAGAAAGGGAAGGTCACTTGCCTTGGGTGGCATTGTACAGACACATATAGTGGCAAGAGCTGGAGCTAGCACCCAGGTAGCCCAGCATAACCTAATTCCTTTAAAAAGGAAAGGGTATGAGTGTCTTGCCTGCCTGACATGCCTGGCGCCCATGGAGATCAGAAGAAGGCATGGCATACTCTGGAACTGGAGTTACGGGTTTATTTATTTTTTTAAGTTGCTATGTGGGTGCAAGGAGTCAAACCTGGGTTCTCTGCAAGAACACGTGCTCTCAATCACTGAGCCATCCCTGTAGCCTAGTACTGAAACTTCTTAGTGAAGGAATTGCTGTCCATGCAGAGTCAAGGAGCAGTAGGCCTGTGTTCAGGAAAGGTCTGCCAGGTCCTGGGCTGGGCACACCTCGTTTTGCTGCCTTGGATCTCAGGACTCACTCAGGCCCACACGGCTAGTTGGGTGGGGCTGGAGTCAGTTTTGGTCCTGCTCTCCATTTTCCTTTCCTTTTCTTCATATCCCATTTCTGATCTCTCTGAGGCTATCTGTGGACCACTAGGTTGGTAAGGAGATGCAGATATAGGGGAAAAAAACCATGCAAATAGAGTGATGACATGGGTAGTGGGCATAGTGCCAACAAGGGGCCTCTGCAGTTTGCTTGGTAGAAGAGCCTTCAGAAGACCCTTTTCTATGACAGCCTTCTGCCCCATCCCAGAAGACAGTTAAAGAAGCAGCCCCCTCCCCCCCCCCCGCCTCCAGCTGCCCCTGCTTTGTGGGAACATATCCCCATCACACGGGAATTCCCCTGGCGAGGGCTTCAGAATCGGTCTTGAGAATTCCTATTTAGAGCACCCTGGACCACCTGCCCAGAACAGAAGGCTGTTCTGGATCCAAGGGGAGTCTTCTGGGTAATCAGGCTCAAGCCCCTCACCAAGGCCTGTGTGGCCTACATTGGGCACATGTGTGCCAGGAAAGCCACCAGAGGACCAGCCTGTAAGTGGGGCAGCTGCCGGAGCCTCTTCCCGGCTAGAGCTGATATAGGACAACCTTTGAGGCCAGGGAATCTGCTCATGGTCACCTTGGGTGGTAGGGCTGGTGTAGGGCGTGTGTTTCCACAAAATCCCAGTGGGGAGGTGGGTTGCCCAGGCCATAGTTCTGAGCTTCCTTGAGAAAGGTTTCATCCTTCTCTGAGCCTCTATGTCTTTGCCTGCCCATGGGGGGTTGCTTGCCTCTCTGGTCCCACAGTTCTCCAGCCCATTGCCTCCTCTCTGCCCTCCTCCTCCTCCCGCCTCCCTGGAAGGTCCAGTCATGGGGATCCTTCATATTAATCAGTTGCGTTAATAATCAGTTGTTCTCAGGGCTTTGATCCTGCCAGGATCTAGCTGTTTGCCTCGATTTTGTACCTCAGGGAAGAGCTGAGCCCCAAGTCTGGAGTGACAGATCTGTTTGCCGTCCTCTGAAGTGTGCGGTAGTGACAGAAATGAAGACAGCTCGGAGCTGTCGGGGTTCAGGGCGTAACACGCTTTGCCTGAGATGGTGTTATTATTATCCCTGTGTCATAGGTGAGGGAACTGAGGTGGAATGAGGGCTTACTGACCAGAGCTGAGACAGGGACCCCAGAGCCTGTCCCTGGGTGAGCTGTAGGGTCTCTCTGGCTGTGTCACCTTTGTAGTTTGGGGGTAGACCCTGCCTGTGACGCTCCCATTTAAAGCAGGAGGCCAGGCAGGGGTGCGAACCCCCACCTTCCAGTCTCTGCTCACTGTCAGCAGGGGAGGTGGGGCTCACTAGGCTAAAATTAGCTTCTGGGATTCTTTGTGCTCTGTATCCGTCCCTCTTCCATCCGTCTGGGGAAGGATGCTGTCAGGAGGCCAGCACTAGAAGGAGCCGGTGTCAGCGCGCACCCTCCCCAGCTTGTGGGCTCTGATCTTCTCACACCCTGCCCAGGCTCTGGGCCAAAGGCTTCTGCCCTTGGCTTGGCCTTGTGGCCACCTATTGATTAGCAGTGATTTCCAAGGGAGAGACCCATCACCACCCTCCCTCTACTCCTGGGATTTTAGCTCCTGTGCCTCCTCCCTTTTCTTTCTTCTTTTTCTGACCCTTCTTGTCTTTGAGGATTGCACCCTCCACTCAGCCTCCCTGCCTCCTCTGGACCCTCTGACTTCTTCCTTACCCAGAGAGATAAGGCTGGGCCTTCAGGGGCCCTGCAGGCTCTACGGACCTCTACAGACATGTGGTGGCTGTAAGGGAACCGGAACAGTTTACAGACCAACAGAGTGCTACTCTCCCTGGAAAGTTGGGGCTATTTCTGTCCTTTCTACCTCCCTCTGGGGCTCTGGGCTCCAGAGCAGGACGAGCAGGCGGGGGAGGTGTGGGGCCAGGCCTGGGTATAAGGGGTGTCTTTGGCTTCCCTGATAAGAGTCCAGGACCCCTTTGGAGCTAAGGGGTGGGTCTTTCCAATCTCAAGGCTGCAGGGCTCCATGGAATGACAACCCCTCCCCACCCCGACTCCCATGGGGTCCTGGGGCTACTTCAAGAGGGAAAAGGGCTGGGCCGTGACCAAGGGGACCCAGGTGTCCCTGTGTCCCTTTCCCAGCCCGTCCCAGCTGCAGCTGTGAGGGCGGGAGCGTGAGAGGCCTGTAAGGCCTGCCACTCGGATTCCCTGGACAGTTGGGGGGAGGGGAAGGCAAGGGTTAAACCCAGCCTTCCTCCCAGCACTGGGGTGGGAGGTGGCTCAACACAGCCATAGGTTTCAGGCTCCACTGGATCCTTCCTTGAGCGCTCTTTGTCAGGTGCCTCTGACACAGCCGGCCCAGCTGGAGTCCTTCTTCCTCCGATGCCCTGGTGGCTCAGACTACAGGGACATGCAGCTACCAGCTTTTGAAAGTTAATCCTTAGCTACCTTAGATGCTCCTGTGGAGCCCAGAGGTGGGGCTACCAAGTTGCTGGGTGACTTTGGGTAAATTCCTTTACCTTTCTGGTCTTCTTTCTTGACTGACGAAGGGCCAGGACTAGAACATGCTTCAGATAACTTCCTAGGGCTGTCTCAGGAGCCACGGGGAAGGGAGAGAAGAAGGGGAAGCCAAGGACAGGGACCTGGCCACCTGGCTGGGCTTAACACTGTCTAAAGTAAGCTTAGAAGAGAACTTGTACGGTAGTGGGGGGGGGGGCAGAACAGGAAGTGAGCTGAGACCTTATGGGAGGGAAATTGCACTCCCACAGATCATATTTTTGAATGACCAGGTGAGGCTAAGCAAAAGCGGGGTTCATCCAAGCCTTGGCAACAGAGGGGCCCACAGAACAAGGCGGTGTGGATAATCTAGACACAGGGCTCCGGCCCCCTCCCCTCACCCCACGGCAGGCATTCAGTGAGGAGTTAGGGGGGCTGGGAGCAGGTCCAGCAAACTGGAGCCATCTTGGCACTAGTCATCCGATGCTGGGGACTCTGGACTCTGGGGACATGTCTTGGATGTAGAGTTTGTATTTTGTTC